TCATACAGGAAAAATATTGGAAATTGCAATGTTTTTTTTTAAAAATCCATATTTTCCACAAATTAAATATATCAAGGTGAACCAAAAACAAAACTGTTAAAAATAGATGTGACTTAATAATTAAAACTTAATTTAGAACAATATACGGTTTTGCCACTTTACAGAGTGTTTTTGTTTACACCTGTATATTATAAACGTACGTATATTTTTTTAGTAATTTTTAAAATGTGAACGATTCTCCATTAATGTATGTACAATATTCTTTAATATTTGTTTAAATCCGACAACAAATAAAAAAGTTATTTGCGATTGAAATTCATCGAAAATTTGTGTGGATCGATTATTTTGCCTGTGAGTGTATTTTGTAAAATTTTAACATAATTTAACCGCCGCTTATTTTTTGACAAGTCAAAATCGAAATTATATCCCATAATCAGCCACTTCATAGTAAGATATAATTAGGTACCTACCATATTATTTTGGTGTAATAGAAACAACATTAATGTAGGATTTTGAGTTTTAACAACGAATAACTGAATAAATATATATCTGACATTTTTGTATCTTGGTTATTAAATACAATTTTTCCCTACAATTATTTGTAATAAAAACATTATAAACAAACATGTTTTTTAAAAATTAATTATTAAGACAAAATAACCTTAAAATAACCCAAGCGCTGATATGGGTGATTCTACAAAAGTTGGGCAACTTTTGACCTCATTTTGTTTATATAGTTTTCGGAGAAAATTAAACAGTATTTTGTTCTGAAAACATAGATAATATAATAAATAAACTGTTCCAGACCGGGCCAGTCACTTTTTCAGTTTCTGAAATATCTGTGTTTTCTAACTTTGAATGCAAGGGAAGTGACGAGTATACCAGGGTACTAATTAAATTCATAATTTATTGGAAAATATAAGATTTTTTGCAACTTTGAGCAAATACCTATCTTAAAATCAAATAATACCATACATCAGTGGCGGCTGGTATCTTAAAATCAAATAATACCATACATCAGTGGCGGCTGGTGGATTTTGGGTATACCGTTATCTCAATTATTAGATATGGGACAAACACCAAATTTATATGGGTTTATAATGACATTAAATAAACAAGCAGAATTTAAATTGAAGTTTGCGAAAAAAAAGATAACCGAAACATGGAACTGACGACACAGTACTGATGAATGGGATACAAATTTGAGATTGTAATTCGAAATTAAGTATTTTACTGATATTTTTTATTAGTGGGTGGTACTTATCAACAATTGTTGATTTAAATCACATATATCCTTATATAAATTACATATAATAATATATAATCGTAAGAAAATAACTACTCACCACAGTACTGAAATTTTGACTGGAACTATACGTGCATTCACCACAACTTCGCCGCTTGCATTGTTTTCAAGATTATTGTCGTGCAAAGGGCGGGCTATGTAGGTAATTTTTTACCAACACTTAAGTTAAAACGAGGACTTGGCGTTAAAACTTCAATATTTCGCAGGAATTTTGAATTTTAACATTGGACACAGAACTGACGGGTAAAAGTGAGTACAAAGATTATCAATTTTTTAAACATTGCTAATATTCGAATCTATGATAAAATATGAAAAATACATTATTTAATGTTTTATAGTTTGTAGTAAAATTGAAAAATTTAAGATAAATTAAATATATTTTAAAATAAAATCATCAAATATTTGATTCAGGAGTTGTGACACGCCAAGGTACTGACGTTTTGAATATTTATTATGTTTTTTTACAAACGTGCTTTTGAAAAAATACATTAAAATTGGGTAAACAACTTAACAAAAAAATAACTACGTAGGTATTTTAATATTTTTTGTAAATATTTTAGTATATTACAAAAGAGTACTCTATTGACTGATGACATCAAGTTGTCCAACTTTTGTAGAATCACCCATATAACAAAAAAATATAAAGCGTGTTTCCGAATTAGCTGGCCAAAAACTTTATGAGCATATAACTTCTTAACTTTTATAAAAAAAATGTTTTAAACAAATTTGTAGGAAATCAATAACTGATTTTTTTTTACCTACTTTCAAATACTTCAGTTTTTAGACCTAAAAAACTCTTAATTTTAAAATGATTTTTTAAGTATTCTACTAATTGCTACAAATTATTTCTATTTCTATTTCAGCGAACCCTAAGCTCGGCTTTAAATAAGCGCTTTCTCCGCCTGTTAGATAATGTACTATTTTATTAACTTTTTTTCGTAAGATTAATAACAATTTTGCATATTAATCCGGTCCACCGTACACTTGCTGGGAACATCTTCACGACCTTGAGGCCCCACCCAGATCCTAGTGAACTCTGCATCTAGCTGGCAAAACGCGACTTTCAAATGTTTATCTACCAGGATACATCACAAAGTATTTATTAAAACAACTTTGTGACCATAAATGTTTTGTTTTTTCAACGTTTTCGTGCATTTTCATCGTAATAAATTATTGTATTTATCTTTGGCCGTCTAGAATAGCAAAGAAAAACTTTTTACAGTAGGTACGTTTGAAGAAAATTTGTTTTCGATAACATAAGAATTTTAAAGAAATTCTCTCAGTTAAAGATTTCAAGAAAGGTCTTTCGCCTTTTTAATCGAAATACAGTTGAATTTGAATCAAATATTTTGATTTAATCTGGGATATAATTAACTGTTATTAAAAGATGTCATGCCTAATAATTATTCATTAAAAAAATACAGTCGTTATTGAATAAATTAATTATGTAATTAATTGTAAAATTATGTTAATTAATTGGTTTGCAATGGGTAATAAAAAAGAACATTAATTAATTATCGACTAGACATTAAATTTTAATTTGCTTTATTCCGCATTACGATATTTGTAAAGTAACCCAGGGCCGGCTCTAGGGCGCAAAACGTGTAGGGGCCCCAAGTACCAATTAAAATATACGTACCTGCTAACTAGTACTACTAAGCAGCAAATTGACCATGGAGCTCCATGAAATTGACTTTCAAATAGATAATGAAACGCTACCTGCAGTGATCAACCTTGCCATGATTTTGATTGATCAAAGCATTTACCTACCTAAACAAACTCTAGCCATATATCAAAACAAGTAGGTAATTACAAACATTTTAAAACCAGGATTAAGCAATTAACATGTAAAAACCAATTTGTATTAATTCAAATTAAGTAAATTTATATTGAACATTTATAATTTGTTCATAAATATGATAAATGGGTCATTTTCAAGAAACACCCGCTTTCAGGAAAATGAAGATCAAAATTATTTTTTGCTTAAATTGACTTTTGGTTGGATTTTTATTAAAATTTTTTTATAAATGTTTAGAGTTTTGTTTACTTACATTTAAGACAGGCAGTGCACTTTTTAATTTTTTTTACGTTTTTTCAGAAAAATGTGTTTAGCTCTAGCTTTATATATCTCCACTGTGTTACCAATTTGAAATCCAAAATTTAATTCAATAAAAAAAGTTGTTATAAAAATAATTTGAAATAAAATGTACTAATAAGTTCACAAACTTTTGACTCCAATTTTTTATTTTATTTTTTATTAAAAATTGTATGCCTTTTTTAGTTTTTAAAAGACAACATTCCGATTCTTTGTTAAAAAAACAATACCATTAATATTTTCTTTTAGTCACTGTATTAGTGAGTTAAACTATAATTTATAAACAGGTATTACCAAGTGATAGTAGAATCATTTTAAGGATTTTTTTTGTAACAAAAACTAAAAAACGTTACGAAATAGACATTGGTATCACAACGGACTGGGGTACACAAAGGACTTAATCAGATAACGTAAAAAAGAAACTATATAGGGTGGTACGATTTTAGAGTACTTAATGCATAAACAAAATCCCTTGTAGTGGTGCTCACTTGCAGAATAACAACTTAGATTTCTAAATTATAGACACCCTTTTTCTTTGACTATAAGCTGGTGAAGGTCTTTCGTCCCTTTTAGTACTTGTATATTGCGTGGAATTTTCCCTTGGATGTAATCTATATCATGAGTTGTAATCACAAATAATTTTAAATTGGTTTATCATAAACTACTTTTAATAAAAGCGACGCTAAATATCCACTTTGTTGTCAAAAAATTCTATTGCGTTACCCTAAATTCCATTGCGATACCATAAGGTAACGTAATGGACTCGGTAACGCAGTGGAAAAAGTTTTGTGAAACCATATTTAAAAAATAATAATAAGACATTACAGTCATTAGTTACTCTCAATGAGCTTTAGTGCCCTAAAATATACATAAACATAAAAAATAGTATTTTTTCTTACCTTATTTTTTTGAGTAACTTAGCGGACAAACAATTATTACATTCGCGTTACCCGCACCTGTTTCAACCGATATCTTCTTCCTGATGGAAGAAATAAATTCAGCTGGGTAATGTGTACGTTCTAACATCATTTGTTGATCACGTGAGTGCCAGAAAAGTTGCCATATAAGTATATGTTTTTTTAAATATTCTATCGGTAACGCGACGGACGTAACGCAACGGAAAAAATGTCTGGGACATGAGTCAAATTGAAAAAAAGTAGATTAAAATTAATTAATTTGTTATAAATTGTTTACTGTATTAACTAAGGATGTAATGGATTGCTATAAAGCAACACAAAGTTCTGGTTATTCAATATTAAAAAAAAACATGTATGTAAGTTTTATAAAACGCTAATGGGACATGCGAAAATGTGTGTTTCACAAGTTTCAAAGTTAAAAAAAAATTATTCTGAAATAACTAAACAAACATTTTCTGAAAGAGTTTACTAAGGGCTTGTTAGGCTTTCACTTGGTTTTTAAATCAATAAGATCCGATAATTTTTAACAAAGTTATTGAAATTCAAACTTACGGACAGCGGAAGGCGGGTGTTTTTTGAAAACGACCCAAATATTAGTTACAGAAAAAGAAGTACATTTCAAATCTCCCGCAGCGCGTTTAAACATTTTAAGTTAACATGTTGGCTGCATTGCAGCTGCTGCAACGATACCTTTGACGTTTATAGGTTATAATATTGTAAACACGGCTAAAATTAAAGATAAAAATGGATTTAATTGATATAGATGGGTCAATTTTAGAGGGTGTAAGTTGATTTTATTAAAATATAATACTTAATACTAAAATATAAAATTTTAGGGCGGCCAAATACTCAGAATAGCGCTTAGTTTAAGCGCTATAAAATGTATCCCTATAAGAATAAGAAATATAAGAGCTAATAGGAGTAAACCTGGGTTGATGGAGCAACATTTAAAAGGTTTTTAATTTATTATGTTGTTTTTTATTATTAACTGTTTATTAAATTAAACGTTTAAGGTGTGGAACTAGTCCGAGATATATGTAACGCTAAAGTGATAGGAGCAAGTTTAAACTCTACAGAAATCGAATTTAGACCCGGAGAAGTTAAAGGCGGTAATTTTAAGGCATACATTAAAACAGCCGGTAGCATAAGTTTACTATTACAAACATCATTACCATGTACGATCTTTGCCAAATCTTGCACAACATTGAACCTACATGGGGGTACAAATGCTGAAATGGCCCCACAAATAGACTACACGACAGAAATTTTCCGACGGGTTTTGGAAAAATTTGGCCCCACATTCGATTTTGACTTAATTAGACGAGGGTATTTTCCTAGAGGTGGAGGGGAAGTTATGGTTAACGTAAAGCCTGTCGATAAACTTAAAAGTGTTGATTTGACGAATTTCGGTGAGGTTTGTGCGATATACGGTTGGAGTTTTGTGGCTGGTAGTTTGCCAATCAAGTTGGCTCACCTTATGGCCGATTCTGCAAGCGATGTGTTGAAAAATGTTTGTAGGGTTAACATTGAGAGGTATAAGGAAGATAGGAATATGGCTCCGGATAATGCATCAGGAATTATGTAAGTATAAAATTATTTGTTTTTTTATTTCAAATTGATTTGGTATTTTTCATTTTTCCTTATTTGGGGTATTTATATGGGACCATTTTTATGCAAATTTACCTAAGGAACAAATTGTTTAATTACCAAAATTTACGTAAAATCGAGAGTTTACGTGATAATCAAGAAAAACAGACCTTTGAAAAAAATGTTATTTTTGTGAATATTTTGGAAACCCAACGTTCAATTGTTTTTTGTCTTTACCATTTTGTAGCTCCAATAATACGGAGTTAGCAATGGTTAGCAGATAACTTTGGACACAGTGTATACCTAGTAATATATTTTTTTTTTCAAAACATTAAAAAACCGTTGCAACGCGTTGGTTTGCCTAAATTTTTACTTTTTGAGTTTAACGGATTATAATAAGTTTAACCAGGACATTCAATAGGTAATTGTTATTAATAGGATACTATGTATCAAGTTTGATAAACGCCATTTCAGTCACGAATTTAATTTAGGCACAAGCGAGCTTTCGAGCGAGTGTTTAATGAAATGAGTGCATAGAAAAGTTTATAAACGAGTTGCATACTGTACTTTTTCAACAACAAATACTTAATATTATCTAAAAAATGACTTAAATTAAATATTTTTATCAAGCGAAATGTATGGAACGCCAAAGTATTTTTTAATCGTCAAATAAAAATATCACATTTGAATTTCCGATATCACAAATTCAATTTTTCATATCACAAATTCAATTTCTGATATCAAAAATTAATTTGCGATATCGAAAATTAATTTTTGATATCATTAATTAATTCTCGATATCGCAAATTAATTTCTGATATCAGAAATTAATTTGCGATATCGAAAATGTCTTAAAAATATTAATTATTTTTTTTTCAATCCATATTATTTGTAATTCAAACAATTAAGAAATAACATGCAAATTTTAAGTTTATTTAAATTATTTATCCGGGTATATAATTAGATTGTAAACATTTTTCTGTTGATAATTTATCTGAATTCTTAATAGGTATTTTTAATTCTAAATAAAAAGTTTCGTCACAATTTTTTAATACTACATACTTACCAATATATTGAACATGGTTTTAATGAAATCTTTTTTTTAATTCGCCAATAAATCGATATTTTTAATTCAAAGTGATATTTTTAATTCTAATTATTTGGACAGCCCTAAAAATTAACAACTTTTTAAATAAAATGTATTTTTTCTAATCCATATTATTTTTAATTCATACAATTAAAAAATAACATTAAAATTTTAGGTTTATTTAAATTATTGATTCAGGTATATAATTAAATTGTAAAAATTTTTTAGTTGATAATTCATCGGAATTTTTAAGTAAGCCTAATATTTTTAATTATAAATAAAAAGTTTCGTGACAATTTTGTAATACCATAAACAAATATATTGAAAATGTTTTTAATGGAATCTTTTTTTAATTAGCCAATAAATCGATATTTTTAAATCAAAGTGATATTTTTAATTTGAATGATTATATATAAATATGTATGATGTATGTAGGCAACCTTCCAAGTAGTACTGTCCAAATCATTCAAATTAAAAATATTACTTTGATTTAAAAATATCGATTTATTGGCGAATTAAAAAAAAAGATTTCATTAAAAAAACATGTCAATATTTTTGTTTATGGTATTACAAAATTGTCACGAAACTTTTTATTCAGAATTAAAAATATTATGCATACTTAAGAATTCAGATAAATTATCAACTGAAAAATGTTTACAATTTAATTATACATATACAGTGTATATTATACACGGATAAATAATTTAAATAAACTTAAAAGTTTAATGTTATTTCTTAATTGTTTGAATAACAAATAATATGGATTAGAAAGAATATATTTTTATTTAATAAGTTGTTAATTTTTTTAAGACATTTTTGGTATCGAAAATTAATTTGTGATATCAAAAATTAATTCTCGATATCGCAAAGTTAATTTTTGAAATCAGAAATTGAATTTGTGATATCGGAAATTTAAATGTGATATTTTTAATTGAAGATTAAAAAATATTTTGGCGTTCCATAGACATGTATAGTATACATTGTATACGAAAATAAAGTAACCATCCCAGTAAACCTTTTTGACGTAATTTTCACCATTAACATTTCCCATTAGAACTTGAAATCTACCGGCGTTAAAATCTTAAATTTTTCTGTGTAAATCAAAATTTATTCCTTGAAAATGGACTAACTTATATAGAAGCAGTTTTTCACAGTAAAAGAGAAGAGAATGTTTAATGGGCACTGTACGCAAAATTTTTAACGCTTTAAATCTAGTTAACTGCACTACTATGTTGAAATCAAAAGGTTCATATAATCTTTTAAAATATTGGCGTCAATAAATTATTTAATACTTTTGTATTTTTGTATTAAAATAATGAAATAATTTTCACAATTAGTATTATTTTACAAAAATGGCACTTTATTTTAACGATTGTATGACATTTGACAACTGTCAACTAATGTTTTATGAAGATTTTGTTTTTTTATTTAAAAACCTTTTTAAAAATATACTTTTTACATAAATCGTCACTTTTGGATCTCCTTGTATAATACCAAGTTCATTAGAACTCTTGTAGGTATACCTACTGGAAAAAAACTTCTACAATATGCTTAAAATAATATAATAAAAACATTTAAAAGTAAAATTTAAAATCTTGCTATTTTAAACCTAATATTTTTGGGAATAAAATTTCGTACTTTCGTAGAACCAAAGATGGTGTTTTTTGTGTAGAACCTTCTGTATCACTTAATAATATTTTTGTAGTTTGGTTGCAGAAACCACCACAGGTTGCATCCTTGGCTCGTCAGCCCTCGGCAAAAGAAACGAAACTGCAGAAGATGCCGGTAAAAGGGCGGCAAACGAACTTCTGGAGAGCATCGAAATTGGCGCATGCCTTGATAAGTACAGTCAAGACCAAGTCATACTATTCATGGCTTTGGGTGGGGGTATTTCGAAGGTTAGGGTTGGAGAAATAACGATGCATACGAAAACTGCCATGTATGTTGTGGAAAAGTTAATAAATGTAAGTGTTTTTGCGAAAATTGTATTTTTGGATTTTTTTATTGTTTTGTGTGTTTTTAGGTTGTATTTGAAGTTATTCCAGATGGAAATACAAATATTATTAAGTGCAGTGGACAGAACAGTTAGTTAATGTATATTTTGTTATATATTTATTTTATACATATAAAAATAAAAAAAATTTAAAACATATATATATTTTATTTAAAATGCCCCAACTATGTCACATTTTAACTATAGTATTGTTAATATTATTATAAAATCACTAGAAAAATAAAAAAATATGGCGAATTTTTTTTGTTGGAAAAACTAAAATAGATTATGATAATAATAATTTATAAAAATATGTATTTCTTGTTAAAAAGTATTTACAATTATCAGGGCATAATTTGATACTTTAGTATATTATGTATCAAACGCCATTTTAGTTACGACTTTTATTAGACACGAGCGAAGCTTGCGAGAATAAAAACTATACTATATATGGGTCGCTTTCAAAAAACACCCGCCTTCCGCTGTCCGTAAGTTTAAATTCCAATAACTTTGTTAAAAATTATCGGATCTTATTGATTTAACAATCAAGTGAAAGCCTAACAAGCCCTTAGTCAACTCAGAAAATGTTTGTTTAGTTATTTCAGAATAATTTTTTTTTAATTTTGAAACTTGTGAAACAGACATTTTCGGATGTTCCATTAGTGTTTTATAAAACTTACATAGATGTTTTTTTTTAATATTGATTAACCAGAACTTTGTGTTCTTTATAGCAATCCATAACATCCTTAGTTAATACAGTAAACAATTTATATATAAAATAATTAATTTTAATCTACTTTTTTAAAATTTGACTCATGTCCCAGACATTTTTTCCGTTGCGTTGCGTCCGTCGCGTTACCGATAGAATATTAAAAAAACATATATATGGCAACTTTTTTGGCACTCACGTGATTAACAAATGATGTTCGGACGTACACATTACCCAGCTGAATTTATTTATTCAATCAGGAAGAAGATATCGGTTGAAACAGGTAACGCGAATGTAATAATTGTTTGTCCGCTAAGTTACTCAAAAAAATAATAAAAATAAGGAAAGTAAAAATACTATTTTTCATGTTTATGTTTATTTTAGGTCACAAATCTCATTGAGAGTAATTCATGACTGTAATGTCTTATTATTATTTTTTAAATATGGTTTCACAAAACTTTTTCCACTGCGTTACCGAGTCCATTATGTTACCTTATGGTAACGCAATGGAATTTAGGGTAACGCAATGGAATTTTTCAACAAAGTGGATATTTATCGTCGCTTTTATTAAAAGTAGTATCTGATTAAGTCCTTTGTGTACCCCAGTTCGTTGTGATACCAATGTCTATTTCGTTACTTTTTTTTGTTAAAAAAATACTTAATAAATGACTACAGTGACTAAAAGAAAATATTAATGGTATTGTTTTTTAACAAAGAATCGGAATAATTTCTTTTAAAAAGTAACTTAACGAACATACATATTTAAAAAAAGTATACAATTTTTAATAAAAAATAAAAGTTAAAGAGTCAAAAGTTTGTGAACTAAGTACATTTTATTTCAAATTATTTTTATAACAACTTTTTTTATTTAATTAAATTTTGGATTTCAAATTGGTAACACAGTGGAGATATAAAGCTAGCTAAACACATTTTTCTGAAAAAAAAACGTAAAAAAAATTAAATAGTGCATTGCTTGTCTTAAATGTAAGTAAACAAAACTCTAAACATTTATAAAAATCCAACCAAAAGTCAATTTAAGCAAAAAAAAATTATTTTGTCAAGTTATCCATGAAAAAAACATTGAAATAAAATTAAACTAATATGGTACCTACTATTGAAAAAAATATCCTTAATTTCCTATTTTAATGGGAAAACTTTGAAATAAAAAAAAAGGTACTTGGGAGTAAGATTAAGGGCTTTTTTTCTCGATATGTACATCAATATTTTGCTTGGGAGATGAAAAAAAATAAATATTTTTTTTAAATTTCGTTTCATTGACGAACCCTGCAAGCATCGTTTTTCCATTGCATTGCATTGGCAAGAAACAATAAAAACGGGGCAAAAATGACACTGAAAAACCGAGAGAATAAGTACCTAGTATGTGTGGCAATAAAAGTGAACCTTTCTACCCAGCAAAGCAGCAGTAACAGTAATAGGTAGGATTGGAAGGCGAAAGAATAATCTAAACCAAGGTCTCTTTATGTATATACCTACCATACGTTCATTCAAATTATTTTTATGGCACAGCGGTATTTTTCTTACTTTCATCTTGTAAAATAATTGATAAAAAACGCGCCAAAGCCTACTGCAATTGCAATCGATCTACGGCAGGCTACCGAGAACTGCCTGCCGTTTCAAATGTTGTTTCTTTTATTTTTATTTCTATATGGACTTCGGCGGCCTCCTTTGCTTTTATTTGGCCTGACTTGGCTTCACTATCCAAGCCACTTGCTCTTTTTTACGCTGTGCAACTACTATATTGTGCCTGTAATTACTTACAATGGCAAATCAGATTGAATATTTGGAATTTTTGGGTTTTTAATATTAAACACAAAATAACTGTGAAAGTTAGAACTAAATATGACACGATTTTATAATTGTGAATTTTATATTTATAGCTAGTGCATATCTAAATATTTATATTTTCCAAATTGAATAAAATTATTATTTGAAAAAATTATTTTTAAAATTACTTAAAAAATAACAAAACTACAGACTGTCAAAGTTTGTCTTAATTTTAAGAGACCAAAATTAACACGACTTTATATTTTGTAAATTATCTTCAAAACTTAGTACTAGACTTGTTAACATATTTGCATATTTTTAAAGTGGATAAAATTATCTAACATTTTTAATATTTTTTTTAAATTAGGTAAAAAATAACAAAAATACAGTGGATAAAATTATCTATCATTTTTTATAATTTTTAAAATTAGGTAAAAAATAACAAAAATACAGACTTACAAAGTTTGGCTCAATTTTAAGAGACTAAAATTAACACGACTTTATGTTTTGTAAATTATCTCCAAAACTTAGTACTGGACTTATTAAGATATTTGCATTTTTCTAAAGTGGATAAAATTATCTGACATTTTTTATCATTTTTTTAAAATTAGGTAAAAAATACAGACTAACAAAGTCTGTCGCAATTTTAAGAGACTAGAATTAAATCGACTTAAGAGACTAAAATTAACAATTTATATTTCGTAAATTATCTCCAAAACTTAGTACCAGACTTATTAAGCTATTGGCTTTTTATTTAATTGGATAACATTTTTTATATATTTTTTTAAATTAGGTAAAAAATAACAAAAATACATACTAACAAAGTTTGTCTCAATTTTTTAGAGACTAAAATTAACACGACTTTATATTTTGTAAATTATCTCCAAAAGCTGGTACCAGACTTATTAAGATATTTAGATTTTCTTAAAGTGGATAAAGTTTTCTTACATTAAATATAATTATTTTTAAAATTAGGTAAAAAATAACAAAAATACAGACTGACAAAGTTTGTCTCAATTTTAAGAGACTAAAATTAACAGTGATAGACTTATTAAGATATTTGCATTTTTTTAAAGTGGATAAAATTATCTTACATTTTTTATAATTTTTTAAAAATTACGTAAAAAATAACAAAAATTCAGACTAACAAAGTTTGTCTCAATTTTAAGAGACTAAAATTAACACGACTTCATATTTTGTAAATTATCTCCAAAACTTAGTACTAGACTTATTAAGATATTTGCTTTTTTTTTAACTGGATAAAATTATCTAACATTTTATATAACTAATACTAAAATTAGGTAAAAAATAACAAAACTACAAACTAAAATTAACACGACTTGATATTTTGTAAATTATCTCCAAAACTTAGTACTAGACTTATTAAGATATTTAGATTTTCTTAAAGTGGATAAAGTTTTCTTACATTAAATATAATTATTTTTAAAATTGGATAAAAAATAACAAAACTTCAGACATTCAAAGTTCGTCTCAATTTTAAGAGACTAAATTTAACACGACTTTGTATTTTGTAAATTATCTCCAAAATTTACTACTAAAATTAAATTAGTTCAAGTGGATAAAATTATCTAAAATTTCATAAAATTTAATAAAATTATTATTTGATAAAATTATTTTTAAAAATACTTAAAATATAAGACTGTTAAAGTTGGTCTCAATTTTAAGAAAAACAAAAATTGACACGATTTTATATTTTGTAAATTATCTTCAAAATATAGTACCAGATTTAATAAGATATTTATATTTTCTTAAAGTGGATAACATTATCTAACTATTTCTATAATTATTTTTAAAATAAGGCAAGAAATAGCAAAACTACAAACTGTCAAAGTTTGTCTCGATTTTAAGAGACTAAAATTAATACGACTTTTTATATTTTGTAAATTAAGTCTAAAACATAGCACTAGAATTATTAATTACATTTACATTTTCTTAAAGTGGATAAAATTATCTAACATTTAATATACCTAATAATTTTTAAAAATAGATAAAAAACTACAGAGAACTAAGTTGATACATACTATTTTGTGGATACAATTTTTTAACATTTAAGATGATTTACACTTATTAAGATATTTATGTACATTTTATTAAAGTGAATAAAATTACCTAACATTTTATATAATTATTAGTTAAATTAGTTAAAAAACAACAAAATTACAGACTGTCAAAGTTGGTCTTAATTTTAAGAAAACAAAAATTGACACGATTTTATATTTTGTAAATTATCTCCAAAACTTAGTACTACAATTATTAAGATATTTACATTTTCTTCAAGTGGATAAAATTATCTAAAAATTGACACGATTTTATATTTTGTAAATTATCTCCAAAACTTAGTACTACAATTATTAAGATATTTACATTTTCTTCAAGTGGATAAAATTATCTAACATTCTGTAGAATTATTTTTAAAATTAGGTAAAAAATACCAAAACTACAGAATGCCAAAGTTTGTCTCAATTTAAAAAAAAAACCTAAAATTAACACGACTTTTATATTTTGTAAATTATCTCCAAAACTTAGTGATAGACTTGTTAAGATATTTACATTTCTTTAAAGTGAATAAAATAATCTAACATTTTATATAATTATTTTTA